GCCCTCATAAATAACATTTCTATCCCATTCACATTCCCTCATTGTTTTAAATCTGTTTTTAGCACTGTTATATTTCATGAAGCATTCTTTCAGAGTTTCAAAATACATAGATCGATTTTATGAGAAACTATTTGCATTTTTTACGCATTTTGAGGCAGTCATTTTAACATCTGTATAGCTGATCAAGGCTTACTTTACATGGATGTTTTGAAAATTTAACAAACTATTTTTATATTCTTGTAAAGCAGTGTTTCCGAACCTCCTTCGTGTACTCACACATAGAGAAAATGATAATATTTATATATGTCACTCTGCTAAGTGGATCATTCTACTGCTCTTGGTCTCAAGTATTTAGCCCAGGAAGTTATACTTATGCTGTCTCTGTTCATGCTGTGCCTCCCTACTTAGCCTCCCAATGCTGATCCCTACTTAGCCTCCCAATGCCGAGAGGGCTCCTATCTTGGCACACCTATAACTCACTTGTGGATGTATAATCTTTGTGAGAATGTAGACTAAAGTGTCTGCTCTTAGGAGTTACGTATTCACTAAACATAAATTTCTGGGAAAAGTATAGTTTTATTTATTTATTTAAATATATCTTTTATTGATTTCAGAGAGAGGAAAGGAGAGGGAGAGAGATAGAAACATCAATGATGAGAGAGTCACTGATAGGCTGCAGCCCGCAACCCGGGCATGTGCCCTGACCGGGAATCGAACCCCGAATGCCTGGATCCTAGGTCGACGCTTAACCACTGAGCCACNCAGTGAAAGGCATATTTCTTTATTGTTTTTATCCTGGAATAACAACACTCTAGGTATTATTATCACCATACCTTTAAGGATATTGTACAATGAATTTTTAAAACATTTTAAAACTATTTTTTAATTGCTTTTGTGTTCAGGAAAGTTTTATTTAACAAAACTTTGTTGTATTTTGGGTCATTTCTTATGTAGACAATAATTTCTTGACCTAACTGATTTTAATGTTTCTTGAAATAGGGCTTGTAGTTGAAGGTACATTTATTGGAGAGAAAAATTATGAGAGGTGGTCGCTATTGAGAAACCCAAGTGGTGTAGAATAATTAATACTTCTTTGCTGTTATGGATTGCTGGCAGGAGACAGATTTGCCTATTATTAAGTTTTCAAATATACATTTTTTTTAAACAAAAATTTTTAGACTTCTTTTTGGTCGTGGATTTCAGAGTTTTATCTAGTAACTGGAAATAATTTTTTAAAAAGTTTCTAATCTGTTGATTTCTTTGACATTCTATATGTTAAACAAAGAATAAAGGAGCTTTTTGTTGGGTCAAGGAAATAACTTGAATCACATTACTAGTTCTAGTTGCTTCCTGGTTTTGTTGTTGTTTGACTGCAGTGTATATTACAGACTGAGAAATGAGGAAAAGTATAATTGTTAGATGGTTTTAGACTGGGAACACGGTAACCTACTTGTTGGTTTCAATAGTCTACTGATTCTGTGATATTTGATCTTTTCTACAATTTCCCCCTCTAAGAACACAAGTTCTAGTCCTTTTTTTAACTGGAATTTGTGTGGATAAACTTCTTTCTATAGCTTCTTAGGCAAAAATTAATATAAACTTAGGGTACTATTAAAAAAATTTCCCAAAGGCTGAGTGCCCCTTTGGTTACTGTTAATAACAGTCCTGCCTTGGGAGGAAGACATTATTAGCAGCTGCTGCTACTATTTATTGAGCACTTATTATGTTCCATATCTTCTTTAATCTTCACTTCATCTTTATGAGGTAGGTAGTGTTATTTCCATCCTACAGGAAGGGAACAGAGACCCAGATCTGCCATAGGTAAGTGGCAGAACTAGGATTCAAACCCGGATTTTTTTCTGACTCCAAAGCTGGCCTCTTTCTGCAGCATTCCTTATTGTAATGTGTCTCTTGATCTAAAGTTTTATATCTTTCTAAGAAATTTATCTTTATATATCAATTTTCAGCGATTTAAAATATATAAAATTTGTTTTTTTGTTTATTGTAGTTATTGCTGTGCCAGAGTACACTTCGTATGCATTTTATTTGCCCTCATAAATAACATTTCTATCCCATTCACATTCCCTCATTGTTTTAAATCTGTTTTTAGCACTGTTATATTTCATGAAGCATTCTTTCAGAGTTTCAAAATACATAGATCGATTTTATGAGAAACTATTTGCATTTTTTACGCATTTTGAGGCAGTCATTTTAACATCTGTATAGCTGATCAAGGCTTACTTTACATGGATGTTTTGAAAATTTAACAAACTATTTTTATATTCTTGTAAAGCAGTGTTTCCGAACCTCCTTCGTGTACTCACACATAGAGAAAATGATAATATTTATATATGTCACTCTGCTAAGTGGATCATTCTACTGCTCTTGGTCTCAAGTATTTAGCCCAGGAAGTTATACTTATGCTGTCTCTGTTCATGCTGTGCCTCCCTACTTAGCCTCCCAATGCTGATCCCTACTTAGCCTCCCAATGCCGAGAGGGCTCCTATCTTGGCACACCTATAACTCACTTGTGGATGTATAATCTTTGTGAGAATGTAGACTAAAGTGTCTGCTCTTAGGAGTTACGTATTCACTAAACATAAATTTCTGGGAAAAGTATAGTTTTATTTATTTATTTAAATATATCTTTTATTGATTTCAGAGAGAGGAAAGGAGAGGGAGAGAGATAGAAACATCAATGATGAGAGAGTCACTGATAGGCTGCAGCCCGCAACCCGGGCATGTGCCCTGACCGGGAATCGAACCCCGAATGCCTGGATCCTAGGTCGACGCTTAACCACTGAGCCACACCCGGCCAGGTGGAAAAGTATAGTTTTAAGTGGTTCATTCTAAAATGTTTACATTGACAGATTACTCTAAATCATGCATTCTTGAAGCCTTTGGAAGCAGCTGTACTCTTTTACTTTCATATATAGCTTATAATGATATCAGAAAACCATGACTGTTAAGCAATTCATATAAACCTTTGACCTTCTGTCACCAATTAAAGCTTCTTAATATATTATACATTTTCTATTATCTTCTTCCTGCAACTTAGAAATTAACCTCTAATGTGCTTAAAGTATTCCCAGTTATGTGGTAATAGTCATAACAGTTGTACCTAACAAAAGGATTTGATCAGGTATAAAATGTGTATTTTTCAGTTTGTTCAGATTGTATACCCTCTGGATTTGAGAAGGAATATTTATAAGATTTGATGCTTTTTAAAGAAAATTTGTTACTTTATTTAAATACTGATGTTTTAAAGTAGTATGTAACTCAGCTCTATCTCAGAAGAATCTGATGTGTATCATTAATTTGAAACTACACATGTATAAAACTATTGAATTTTAGAAAAATTAAAATAACTCAATTTTGATATAAAAATAGCATGAAATGTGTACTTAAGCCTCTGTTGTGTAAATATTTCTCCTAGTTTCCCTAATGTGGTCTGTGTCTGCCCAATTCTTCGTGGGGAACCAGAGTGACCTCTGGTAGTTCCCTGTCTGGTGATTCCTCACCCTCTCCTTTTCCCTGTACCTAAGCCATTTCAGTTGAGCATCAAATACTGTTGCTTCTAAGGCCAGAATACCTCTTCTTTCTAGTCTCACTTCTGTTCTAGTTTAGTATTTTCCATTTCCACCCATTTTTGCTGTTGGAATGATCTTCCCAAAACACAGTTTGATTATTTCACTTCCTTGCTTAATATTATTATTTTCTCTTTATTGCCATAGTTGGTAGCCATTTTTGTATTGCATTTAAGAAGACCCTTTACATTTGGCCCCAATATGCTCTTTTATTTCCCACCTTCCTATGCCTTAGTGTGCATTGGGGTTGATCCTATCTCCTTTCCTTAATTATCCTATTATCCAGCCACTGTTTCTTATTTTGTATCCTAATCATGTCACCAACTTTTGTCACATCCTTACTGTGTATTCTCAGCCTGAAAGACCACTCATCTGTATTCACATGAGATGTTACCATACTACAAACTATTTCTGTTACCTCACCCTTGTTTAGAATTATTTTCCTCTGGTAATACTTTATACTTCTTTTAGAGCATTTGCCACACTGTGCCTTAAAATATAATTAGTTGTATAATTAATTTTCTTCTTTCACTAGATTATAATTCGTTTGATGATATGCCCATGTCTTATTTAATTAAAGTATTTTGATGGTTGCTTAATATGTAAGACAGAATCATTCACTTACCTGTGCACATTTTTATTTACTCAGTTTAAAGTGTCTACTTTATACATAGCACTGCCACATATAGTAGTATTCTGTGAGGAAATAAAAATTGAATATAACATGTTCTGTGAATATATTATTCTTTGAAAGAATTTATATTGGGGGAGAGATTATGCAATAAACCAAAAGGCATTATATATTAGTGCCATGAAATTCACATCACTCACTAACAGACAGGATATGTTTATATACCATGTCCTTTGATATTGTGTCATCGCCACTTATTATATGGTTGCATGTATATTTGTTAATTTTTTTTACCAATTTGATACACATCAATTATTTGTATATACAAGTCATGAACTATCCTTACAAAATGCAAAACTTTTCGATTTAGCTAATTTTATTTTCAACTTTAATAAACTGAATTTAGACTTTAGCTTAATATCTAAGAATTAAGGAATTTCACATATGAATTTAGAAGCTGGCTTTTTGAGATACTGTCATGTTTTTGTTAGCCTAGGTTTTTTTTTGGTTTGTTTTGTTTTTTTTGGTGAAATAATGATCCTGCTGTAGTTTCATTTAGAATAACTTGAAAAAAACCTTTTGTGATAATAAAAAAAAATCATTTTATTTGCAGTTTAATTTCATCCAGTTGTGAATTTATTATGTAATGTTTTATGTTTTTCTGAAGGAGAAATGTGTATTTGAATCCCACATATTATGATGTATTTTAGAGATTTGTAACGTCTAAATGCAATGTTCTGTGTACTTTCTTTTATGCTCTAATATAATTAATTTGTTTCTAGATGCTGGCGTCACCATCTACATCAGGTCAGCTGTCTCAGTTTGGGGCAAGTTTATACGGGCAACAAAGTAAGAATTTTGTATTTATTCTGGAATACTTTATTTAAAGGAATAAAAACAACAGAAACTACCAAATAAAGAACAACCAATGCTGCCCCTGTGGGTTTGTTCTAGGGTCTAAGAGGAAAGATATTTAATTTTCGTTTTTCTTATTTTTATAGCAAAACCTCATTATTTCAGACCTTTCTAATTCAGAATTTGTTATTTGGCTGTAGGATAGGTTAAAATTTATTTTTGCATCTTTTGTATCTGTATATTCCTTTGCAGTAATTTTGAAGAAGAATTTGCTAAACAAACTAAAAATAGACATCCTTTCTTTTCTCGGTTAGAGGAAGTTAATGGTTTTTTGTTTCTTTGGTCAGCTGAGTAGGTGGTTTGTGGTTATTGGCCTTTTTAATAATGTGAGCCCATTTACTTAGCAGTCTGTCAAATGTTCTCTTTGTTTAGCAAATATTTCTTCTTTTGCTTTAGCTCAGTCTAGTTACAGAATCTATGTTTTTGACTCACAGTTTAATTGCTTTTTCCATATACAAGATTTGGTTTCTTTTTAAGCATTGTAATACTTTTATAGCGCTTAGCACAGTGCCTGGCGCATAGTAAGCGCTCAATAAATGTTAGCTATTATCACAGAAAAAGATTTATAATTCTAAATTATAAAATTCTATTTTTTAAAATTAATTTTCCAAACTGTTATATATTAATAATATTTTATCATCTCTGTTAGTGTCAGAGACTGCTGATCTCTTAATCTCTGTTAATGGGAGGGAGGGGACTATTAAAAGGAATATAAGTTTCCAGCATAGATTACAGAATAAAAATAGAGAATACAATCTGATGACTGAGTAGCTTAACTAGCTTCAAATAAAAGTTAGTTATTTGATTTTAAACTCTTTTCCAATATAATAAAAGGCAAAACTTTCTTAGGTATCAGGATATTTTGTCATACCACTTTACCCTTCAAACTTCTTTTGAAGTTTAGTAGGGGCAAGAAAGTGTTTTTGTTAGAAATATAATTTACATCTACTTTTCTCTCTCTCTCTTTTGTGGCCTTTCTCTTTTGCTATAAAACACAATTTTGTTAATATATAATTAATAAATTATTACCTACTTATAGATATTAGTAGTCTTCCTCTAGGTGTAGAACATATTTAAAGAACTTTTTTATTACATTAGAAAGAGTGTTGCTTATTTACCCACATATGTTCATCATAGTTGTTGGGGGAATATAATTAGATAGTAAATTCTTTCTTTTAGCCTGTGTTTTAATATTAAACATACTACTTTCACCTTACTGGTAACCCTTCCATGGAAATACCTAGTTATTTTAAAGCTACCCTTTATATCTGTACAGTAACTGAAGAACTTACTTTTTTTCTTTTTAAAGTCCACAGTTTTTCACAGCAGTAAGTAGATGTGGATTGGAAGCTAAGGTTACTTTACAAAGAATGGCAATTATTTTACAATATAAGCAGTTATATATGGACTTTAAAACTCTGTTCTAATTTTTTTAAACTGCAAATGTGAAATTGTAATTGGGATAAAATGTGGAATGGGTTAGGTTTTAAATATAGTTATTTGATTAGATAGACATTTATTGACTTCTTTTTAAAAATATATATTTTTATAGATTTCTAGAGAGAGAGGGGAGAGAGGGATAGAGAGATAGAAACATTGATGAGAGAGAAACATCGATCTGCTGCCTCCTGCACTCCCTCTACAGTGTGGGGATCAAGCCTGCACTCTGGGCATGTGCCCTGACCAGGAATCAATTCATTGACCTCTTGGTTCATGGATCGATGCTTAACCACTCACCCATACTGACTGGGCAATCGACTTCTGAATTTGTGTAAATAGTTGTGCTGATTGTTGAGGATATACAAAGATTAATAAATGAGCAAAGTTATTTTCATTAGAAAATATATTTTAAGGTACTTAGTTTAAGTCACGTGACAAGTATTTCCTATTGGAGGTTAGTATATTAAATTACTATATTCCTGTAGTATTAGTGAAGCAGCATTTTTAATGCGCACTCGTTTAACTGACATTGCGGGTATTAGCCTACAGAGAAATTGAACCTTAGATCAACTGGTACTAAAGTATTTCAAGTCAGGGTACAATTATTTCTTTCCAGCGTATAGATTAAGAAGCTACAAGTAGTGAGAGAAGACAGAGCCTGGATTCCCAGTCTCTGTCATTTAGGAGGGCTAGATAAATCATTTAGCTGGTAAGTAGTAGAGAGGAGAAAAGATGCTCTCTGTGGGGCTTGAGGGCTAGGGTTCTAATAGTATAAGTAAGTCAAAATGATAAAACTTGAGAGGCTGACCTTAAAGTGTGGGGAGATAGAAGGAATAAGTAGGTGGGAGTATATTAGTGATGATTGTCTTATGGCACTTAATTGTAATTTGCATTGGTCTTGATATAACTAAAATTTTTTTTGCTTCCCAAGTGTATTGAGTACCACCATTAACCCTGTACTCAGATTGTCAAAGTTCAGTAGCAATTTGGGCCATTAACATGCAGGTCTACTTTCTGTTTTTGTGTTCTTAATGATTAGAGAGAGGTTACAAGTGGAGAAGGAAGAGTGCTCTCTCTAAAACTGAGACTCATGGAGATTGAACAAGGGAAGGAATTCTTTTTGAAATAGGTACAGAACTACAGAACTACTTAAACTTACATTTTGTCAGATTTGGGTGGAAGTGATTTCATAAGGGTACCCAGAAAATGCTGGATCACAGGTTCTTGTATGATTGTATCCCAAGTACGTAAGTAACTTTTCATCCAGGAGTTCATGTGAATACTGTGCAACAAATGATAGCTTTGGAAGCCAGTTAACAGTACCTTACATTCAAGTTGCATGATGTTCTCTACTTTGATAAGATTTTAGGTACACATTACAGGTTTCAACCAGTCTGATCTCCCAGAAGCTGTCTGTGAGATTGAAATGAACAGGGAACCAGGAGTTAATTTCTCCTGGATATTCAGTGCATTGAAATTAAGTGTCAATATAGCTGGAGTGACTTTTCCTTACTTACCAACAGGATTTAGAGCATTGGAGGATTGGAGAAAAAGGAAACAACTATTTACTGAGTGCTTTCCATATGCCTGTTATCCTAAAGGCACATAGGTTAACTAGCTATCTGGATGAATCAATTATACATATTTGTATCTGACTTATCAAAGTACCCACGCGTGTTGCTGGGAGAGGAAAATAAACTTGTTTTTCTAAGATCTGTACTCCTAGCTTGAGAGCAGTGGCATAGCCTCATGCTTTCAACATCCTTTGGCTTCCTATTTTAAGAACACCTATGTGAAGCTTCTTATTTTATAGAGAACCGGAACACAGGTAGGGTGGTACAGATGATGCTATTGACAATATAGTTAGGCAAATGACACATTTTGGTACTTCAAGAAATTGGAGTACAATTTAACAGGTACTTGAATTAAAACTGAATGCTCTGTGAGTTCTTGCTCTCAAGAAGCACATTGCAGTTGGGGAAGTCGACATTTATATATATAATATTAAATAACAGCCTATAGTGCTAATACATAGGTTTAAAGGTATGGTATGGGCAGACTTACAGTTTGGAGAGAAAAGCACAGTAAGCTGCAGTGGTATAGGACAGTTTCAAAAAGGAGGTAAGAATTGAGTTTAACAAGATATTCACTGATTGCCTACCATATATATTACTTCGTGCTAGGTATTACAGGTGTGTGGTAGAGATCATTCTCTCTTATGTCATCTCCATGTAGTATACATACTTCTGGGGTGTTACTGCATTTATTTATTGCATGTCTTCATTGCCTTTGTTTCCTCAGTACTCTACATGGCAGGCACTCAGGAAATGTTTGATGAATGATGAGCAAGATACAGTCCCTACATAGAATATAGCAGGATATGTACGTGTTACTTTACTACAAAGTAGAGGAAGAAGTACAGAATTTAATGGATATTTCAAAGTCAGGAATAATTACATATCTTGGAGAATGATCAGGAAAGGATTTACAGTTGAGGCCATTTTGACATTGGCTATCTGTGAGACTGGGTAGTAAGGTTTGAGTAGTGTGAACAACATCCGCAGAATGGGATATATCTGGGAGTGTTCTGTTTTATTAAGGCAAGGGAAACGTAATTGGCTGTTACATTGCTTTCAGTTGAGAAGTACAATCTTCACAGTTCAAGATCTTTGCTACTTTCCAAGTTCAAGAACACAACTATTGCAAACAGTTTTCCCCCCCAAAACAACTATTTTCTGGTGAAAACCATTACTTCATTAGACTATCTTAATTATCTTTATCTTAATTATCTTTATCTTTAGGACCACCTGTTGACTTTCTTGCCTTATGGATGTTTCACTTTCCTGCCTTCAACCCCAAGCTAATAGATATTGAGTATTAACTGTCAGGTTCTATTTTAAGTACTTTATATGAATTAACTCATTTAACCTTCACAACAACCCCATGAGAGGTTAAGGGACTTGCCCAAGGTTATACAGATAGTAAATAGTAGAGCCTGGAATATATTACTTTGTAAGTGTAACTATGTGAAAATGAATTGAGCAGTTTCCTTGAGTCGTGGATGTTACATATTACTTACTGAATGTCACGACCCTAGAGGGCCATTTGTACATAGGAAACTACACATGTTAAATCCACAGATTCCAAGAGTCTACTGACTAAGGCATTAAGATAGGATTGTTGTTGTTTTTTTACCCTGTCGTTTATTGAGTGCCTACCCTGAGTGAAGTATCATTCCGAGATCTAAGAGTATGACAAGTAACAAAGTTCCTGCTTTCATAGTGTGGGGGAGGCAACCAATAAATATGTCTCTCACATTGACGTATGTTTCTTTCTCTCTCTCCCCCCCCCCCCCCACTCTCTCTGAAAAAGCAATGGAAAAATTATGCTTGAGTGAGGATTTAAAAAAATAATAAATTTATATTTAAATAGAGGAAGACAGAATAAACATGTAGACAACTAAGTAAATATGATTCTGGTAATAAGTACTACAA